ATATATATATATATGCAAAAATCAAGTTGGAAACTTTAAAATTTAATTCTGGGATCATCTGAACCCCGATTTCAGCAAAGTTACAGTCGAACTTATCGTCTCAAAAATACGAACTCAACGACACCAAGTTCATCTCAATCCGAGCCCAAATGGGTTCAAATCAAAGGCTCAAAGCACATTCAGAAGGTTCAATCCATAATTCGAGTTACCAAACAGCTTCCAAAAATGACATGCTTATAGTCGAATCAAGCAGATTGATGAGACAAATCCAATGAGCCTAAGATCACCGAATTTCGATATCATTAAGACCTTCAAATGTCTAACAAATTGTTCAGGATCAAAGGATTCAATATCGATCGTCCATCCAAATCACTCCAAATTTGCCCTTGATCCTCCCCCTATTTACGGGTCATGCCATCCTAAAAAAACTATAAATAGCCCCTCATTTCTCTTAAGAGGGGAAGGAGGGCTCAAGCAAGAAGAAGCAAGGAGGAAAGAAGGAGAAGAGAATAGAAGAATGATAGGAGGGAAGAAACTCCTCCTCAACCACCACCGGAGTTTTGCCTAACGTTCAAGTGACGTCGGAGCTCCGCCCTACCTCCAAGTGACGCCAAAATTCTACCCGATGTTCAAGTGATGCCAGAATTCTGTCCAACGTTCAAGTGACACTGGAGTTTCACCCGAACTCTAAGTGACGCCAGAGTTCTGCCTGACGTTCAAGTGACGTCGGAGTTCTCTCTGGCCACCAACTGTCGTAGAACTTCTACCCGACGTTGGACTTCTGTCTATTGTGACACTTTCACCAGATATATATCTGATGTTGGATTTCTATCCATTACTGAACTTCTACCAGACACAGTCCTTCCGACCTCTATCGACCGCTGACTATGGTCCTTCTAACTTATATCGCCCACCGACTACGGTCCTTCTGACTTACGTCGCCCGTCGATTACGATCCTTCCGACTTACGTCGCCCATCGACTATAGACCTTCGAACCAAACAAACACATCAACGGTGAATCTTTGTATTCTTATCATGTAATGTACTATCTAAGATGTACATCAAGCTATGGTCTTCCCCTAAGGAATGGCCTCAATTGTAATCAACTGAAATACCAGTGGATTCATTTATTCTGGGCTAGACCCCGTGGGTTTTCCCCCTTTTCAGGAGTTTTCCATGTAAAAATCTTGGTGTCTCTAGTGAACGATAAACCCTCTCTCTTATCTAATTGCGTGCCGAATTTTTGTACAATGCATATATATTAAACTTTATATTTCTCTACCACCACGAATACTCCAAGACACAACAATTTGGTGCCGTCTGCGAGAACGTAGTTCTCGACTAGGGGCAAATTTTGCTTTAAATCTCATAAGGTCATTCATGTGACATCAACTTTGGTACATCAATTTAATGGAAATTAGATCCGGACTAGGGGGGTAACTTTGACCCCAACTGTGGTCAAGAAGATAACTCTATTATTTTTAATATCAAGATGATATTTCAAGAAAATCCCAGCAAATGCAAGGATATTTCCAATAAATTGCAAGATTTATACAGTCCATTGTTGGACTTCTACTCCTTGGGTAAGGTCTTAATCTAGACCTCAAAAAAGCAGTAGCGGTCTAAAGATAGACCTTTGTTTACCTGTAATTCAGGATACATGCAGCATTTGCCCCCTCCCAATCAAGGAAAAATTGATCCCAGGGGGATTCGATTCAACCTCTTCCACACAGGTTAACATCATCGAGCAAAGGCTATGACATACAATCTCGGATAGGTCTTATATCCTTGGTGGATTCTTTTAACCTCTTCCACACAGGTTAATGTCATCGAGCAAAATGCTCTGACATATAACCTTGAATAGGTCTTACAACCTTGGTGGATTCTCTCGACCTCTTCCATACAGGTTAACGTCATCGAGCAAAGTGCTATGACATACAACATCAGACAGGTCTACATCCTTGGTGAATTCTGTTGACCTCTTCCATACAGGTTAATTTCATCGAGTAAAGTGCTCTGACATACAACCTCGGATAGGTCTTACATCCTTGGTGGATTCTCTCGACCTCTTCCATACAGGTTAACATCATCAAGCAAAGTGCCCTAACATATAATCTTGGAAAGGTCTTACATCCTTGGTGGATTCTTTTTATCTCTTCCACACAGGTTAATGTCATCAAGCAAAGTGCTTTGACATAAAACCTCGAATAGGTCTTATATCCTTGGTGGATTCTCTCGACCTCTTCCACATAGGTTAACATCATCGAGCAAAGTGCTCTGACATACAACCTCGAATAGGTCTTACATCCTTGGTGGATTCTCTCGACCTCTTCCATACAGGTTAATGTCAATGAGCAAAGTGCTCTGACATACAATCTTGGATAGGTCTTACATCATTGGTGGATTCTCTCAACCTCTTCCATACAGGTTAATGTCATCGAGCAAAGTGCTCTGACATACAACCTTGGATAGGTCTTATATTATTGGCGGATTCTCTCGACCTCTTCTATATAGGTTAACATCATCGAGCAGGGCTCTAACATACAACTTTGAATGGGTCTCACATCCTTGCTAGATTCTCTTAATCTCTTCCATATAGGTTAACATCATCGAGCAGGGCTCTGACATACAACCTTGGATAGGTGTCACATCCTTGCTGGATTCTTTTGACCACTTCCATATAGGTTAATATCATTGAGCAGGGCTCTGACATATAATCTTAGATAGGTCTCACATCATTGTTGGATTTTTTTTCGGCCTCTTCCATATATGTTAACATTATCGAGCAGGGCTCTGACATACAATCTCAGATAGGTCTTACATCCTTAGTGAATTCTTGCAACATCTTCTACATATATTAGCATCATAAATCATTATTTTAAGTGAACATTCTCTCTAAAAAGATTTCATAAAAGCAAGTGGTTGATAAAATTATCATTCATATAAAGATTCTTAGCATGATAAAAAGCCTCAAAAAAGCACATCAAAGCATATATCAAAGAGGCATAAACAATATAGTTTTCTTTGAAGGACAAGTTCATTTCAAATGAAAAATAAGCATCGAGCTCATACAATAATCTTAACTTCATATACAATATCATTGAAGTTACATTATAAAATTATATATCAAGTTCAAGTGTACATTTATTCACAAGCTGGAATTAAAAGTATATCCACATCATAAGTATAAGTCATCAAATCAGTCCTCAACTTAGTTGATATTATAAGTGTATCACCAGACTACTGACATAACACACTATTTTGACTCCTTGAATTAGGGATATCTGATATCGGCAAACTTATGTATATATGCATATTATCTTTGTAAAATGCCACTGGACACCCGCCATCATCGGGCCTTCTGAAATACAATCTATTTAAAGATTAGGTTGTTGAAATAGATTTAGGTTGTTTGGACATGTTTAATGAAATGTAAAAAATACATCCAATGGAATTGTAGATAAAATTAGCTTTAGTGGTTTATGAATAAAAATGGATTGATCCAAGGCATAGATAGAAGATGTTGAAAAAGATTTGCAAAAATTAGATTTGACAACTAATGCAACACTAAATAGGAACAAATAAAAATTGATGATTCATATAGCCAGTCTCAAATAGTTTGAATATGGCTAATGATAATGATGATGTGCAATATGGAGAATTTGAGGAGACAAACATAATAACAGTTTCAT